GCAATAGTCCCCCCTTACCCAGGGCCACCATGCCTAGAGCATATTACCTAACTGGTTGCTCTAAGATGCTTCCTTTTCTCCCACCATCTCCTTGAAGCTTTCCTGTTACTATCTGGAAGGCAGGTAGCAATTACACCCAGTAAGGATGAGAATTCCCACTGTTCTCCATTATCTCATTCAAATAACATAATAGGTCTAATTAAAAGGTGGCAGAGAAGGAGAGAATGGGAACTTACCAGTTGAGCAATAAAAGACAGTATGCCTCTTGTACTTAGTTATTTTCTTTTCTTTACTCATTATTTTGGTTACATTAAATTTCTCACTCCTCGACAGAGTTCACTGATTGTTATTACTGTAAATAAATGTGTTAACCAACAAACATCTACTATGTGTGGTGCCGGTGTCACCAGGAGGTGTTCTGCCACTTGATCGTTGGTGTGGCGTTTCCTGGTGGTTTTTAAAAATTGTCTTCCTAGAGAACAAGGCCAGTCTAACAAGCAGCACCAGTTCATCCAAGGGCAAAGCAACTGGGATTCTCCACAAGAGGCCCCAAAGGGCCTTCTCTAACTACCTATCCTCTGAGAATAATGTGAGAACATGAGGTCCCCAGCCCAGAGCAATGGGAACAAGCTAAGACAGGTTGACCATAGAACCCTTATAAGGTGGGCACTGCTATGAAGTCACAAGTTCTGTTTTTCAAACATGTCACCAGAGCAGTTTCTAAGTCTTGCCACTACAGAAATTTTGAATAATTATTTACTGTAGAGGCATGTTTAGCAGCATGCCTGGCCTTTACCCACTAGATGCAATAGCACATGCCCTGCTCCCAACTGGGACAACCAGAAATGTCCCCAGACATTGCCCAATGTCTGGAGAGAAGCCTGGAATAGCTATAGTGGGGGTACAACTAGCTTACTGTTTTGCCCTTCGAAGTAAATACTTTGTCTGGCAAGGTGGGGCTTAAAGGGGTGAAAGGAAGGCAGGATTCAGGTGTATTCTGATAATTCTGCTGAAGCATTTTTGGACTTTTCCCCACTCTTGGAATTGCCTTTAGAGCCAGTTTCTGAACATCAGAGAGAAATAAGCCCCCGTTCTTCATGCTCATAGCTCATGTCTATGTCCTTGGAATAACAGAATTTTAGGATTGGAAAAGATCTTAGAGATCAGCTAGATTCAAATAATTATATAATCCATCAACTATCTGAACTCCTGCGAACTCAGAGTTTTCAAGATGTTTGTCACTAGGACACCACAGCTGTGCTGAAGAGAGATTAGCAGATGTATTTCACTGTGAAAAATCTGGAACAGTGTCACATGCAAAATATAACTCAAAAATCACTGCCCTTGAGTACAATTTGGGATTAGTGTAGATTATCAGCCATAGGATTTCCATAAGGATTTAAAATAACACAACCTAGAGAATGGTCCAGCCCCATAGCTGGAAGGCAGGTGAGGGGGTCTAGGGGTGCACAGTAAAACCAGGCTCATTGATATTAAGATCTGCTGGAAGCCATGACAGCATTTTTAGTAAAAATATTCACAGTTCTGTTGTTCGGCCAGGAAAACCTTATTTTATTTATACAGCATTTCTCTCTCCTAGTGACACATGCTGTATTTATTTGCCTGAGATGGTCCACTTAAGTAAAAGTAAACCAAAGGAAAGCCATCTAGAAAACAAATCACCCAGCAGTCTGCTTATCCATTTTTCATAAACATCAGAGTCATCTCCTTCTAAACAAAAGGCAGAGCAGTTGCCAGAGGACAGAAAGTGAAGAAAGGGAAAAAAGAGTTTGCAAGGGGAATCTCACTCTGTCCCTCTTGGTTGTGAATGTCGAAAAGGCATTCTAAGGAGAACGTCCATTACCTTGTTTTTGTACAGGGCAACTTCAGTTGGAGCTCCCACCCACCACCCTCTCCCCACCTCTTCCTCACTGGTCCTGGCATAGAGGTGGGAGTGGGGGTGACTTATCTCATGAAAAGAATTTGGGAGAAAAACTATGTCTTAGCTCCACCCACTCTGCTCTCTCAAACCTGCCTAACTGCACAGAGTGACCCTTTGGGCAAACTTAGGGGTGCAAGCTTTATATGGAAGGGAGCCTACAATTGGCCAGCTGGGCTAGAGTGTCTGGGGGTGACACTGGGTAAGTGTTACTAGAGCTAGCTAGCCCTTTTGACCACAGATATAAAGCTGACATTCTTCCATCAGTTGATCAGCAACAAAGCTGACATTCTGAGTTCCCATTGTCTTGTCTTCTGGGTCAATTGGGTTTGAACTCAGGAGGGGAGGGAAAGGTGTCAATAGCCCCTAAGACAACACAGTAAGATGTAGGTTAGAATGATTTAAATAGCCACGGTGAGAAGACCAGCCCATTCACACCACATTCTACAACTAAAGGATCAAAGCCCAGTTACAGCTACACCTCCTCGTCCAGTCTGCTCTCACAAATGGGGAGAATGCCAAGCAGAATATATGAGTGCCATTAATTATGTAATAATTTAAAAAGAAGGGAGCTCTCCCTGGTTTCAAGTGTCACTGGCTCTGACATTAGCTTGGATGAGTCATTTCACCTTCATGGAGCTGTGCATCTGTGGTCTCAGAGGTGGTGATGATAAAACCAGGAATTCTAGATTTGGTGTTTGTTCTTCAATATGTTACTGATGAGAGAAAGAACCCTGTGAAAACTGAGCAAAAATGAGAGCCATAAAATTTTGTGGCCTCCAGGTTGTAAATGCTAATATTCATTGATTCTGTGTATTCCTCATGGAGTGAGACATCATTGCCCATAAAGGTTCCTTAGGAATTTAATTTAATGAAATAATAGAAACAGTTACAATTAGAATACAATTGTGTATGTGCAAATATGCTTCAGAGAGCTTTGATAGCATTTGTGGCTGCTACATTTACCCAAATTTTGGCCTACATTATTAATTTGCCCTACTATGAAGAAAGGGTTTGTTAATCAAAGATAAACTCCCCCAATGATTTTGAATTAGTGAGCTCCAAATTATGGTAGGATAATGAGGCAGGGCTGTGCACATATACGACGCAGCTAAGCAAAAGCTTTCTGGCTGGCCACATAGGAGGTCTCCTTATTGAAAGATTTATTTTTAATTTTGAACAGCTTCCCAGCATCACCCTTCATGAAAATTAAAATAAGGAGCTGGAATTTTGTCCTATTCAGCAAACCTCCTGCCAGGACTGCTCACCATGGCGGAGAAAACAACCTCACTGTGTCAGAGGAATTCCCTGTCCACCTTTCTCCTAGATCTAAAAGAATTACACCTACATTTTTAGTCCAACTTTGACTGTTCTCTTCCCTCACTGTAAGGGGAGGATCTTTAGCCTGTCTTCTTCCCATTCCTTGCCCCTTCTGGCCTGGCAGGGGTTGACATAATCCTTTGGCTTGAATCCTTAGGTGTACAGAAAGCCATAGACGTCTCCCCACAAAGTCTGTGGGAGCCAAGCCTGTCCTCAGCACATCTCCCAGAGGCTGTTCTCTGCCAAAGAGAATGACTTCACCTGTACACTAAGGCCTCAAAGTCTCCATTCCTAGTTCTAATTCAGTGAAGGACACGAAGCGGTGATGTGTTTTGAGAAAAGCTGGAAAGGTGCTTCAGGCTGAACATAAGGATATCGACTGGCTCACAAATCAGACTCTCCAGGGTGTGCAAAGATCACTCTGCACCTCGTTGGCTCCTTGTAACTCAGACACACCAGTGACACCAATGCATTTCCCAGGATCAGCACGCGGCATTTCCAGGGCATTCTCCCAGAAAGAGCACTAATCAAAGACTGGCCATCACAGAGTGCTTGTGATGCCATCAGAACCTCCTAAATCATTCTAGTCTTTATATAAAAACAAAACCAATGACCACTAATAGCGTTCACAACCTGGAAGTGCAGAAATTAAAGACAAAAGCATCACCAGATGATCAGTTCATATCACATATTTTAAAGACCAGCCGCCTTTGTGTCGCCGAAGCTGCCTTTGGGGAAGATTTGCCTTTCTAGCTCCAGTTCAAAATCTCCCCCAAGTCTTAACTTTTTATTTATTCTAGAGAGTTCAGGGGAAAGTGGAAAAATAATGGCTTTGGATCGGGACACTGGAATACTTCTCACTAGAGATCAATTAGTACAGACATATTTTACCTAACTATTGAGTGCACTTACTGAAACATGCATTTAAGAGAAAAGTGCAGGAAGAGGTGATAGGATTGTGGGCAATTTATAATGCTTTGCCAGCAAAGTTTGTTGTTCTTAAGAGCCTCACTAAAGGATAAACTATAGTTGTGTGTTTTTTTTTTTTCCTGCTCCCTCTAACTCTCCAGAAATAAGTAACAGGGAGCCGGCAATGGAAAACATGTGGCGGGAATCCAGAATGGAAAATTAGCATGAGGATGCGTGGAAACTTCTTCAGGGGAGGAATCGGGATGAGTGGGTCAGGGGCTGGAATTCTAGATTCTACTTTGCATTTTTAAATATCTGATATTTAAGATTTTACAATAGTTCTGCAATGCATGCAGCAGTAACACGGCATGAATAGAAAATATAAATATACTACAGCAAATATAAATGTACCAATACAGATTAGTAAAAATCAATTTTATAATCCTAAATAATCTGTAAATGCTCTAATGTCCAACCATGGACCTTGTGATTAAAATGGCCAGCCCAAATCCCTTAAAAAAGCAGTCTAGCATGGAGTGACCCAGCTCACTAGACTGTTATCTGGTTTCAATCACTGTCTTGGTCTTCATTTAATCTCCTCCTCCTAGTACAGGGTGTGTTATGCAGTTAATGTCCAAACATTTATTTATTGAATGAATAAATGTTCATCTAAGAGTCTTTTGTGTTATAACACAGTTCACAGGTTTATAATTAGGTCCATGTAGTTCTACTTTAATTTTAGAACTTTAATATCATTCATGGATATCAACACAAGCCCCTTCTCTATAATGTGCACATTTAGATCATTTAATAAAGTGGATCCACTTCCTACCTGCTTGGTTGGTTGTCACGGTGACAGACACTGACTGATCCGGACTAGGGTTATACTTGGACACTCCATTCACCGCCCAGATTTCAAATGTGTAATTGGTATGAGCCAGGAGGTCAGTGATGGAGACTTTGGTGGTCTTCAGGCCATTCTGCTGTGGGGTGTAGTGGACCCCACTGCCACAGGGTCGGCACTTGCTAGAATCACCAGCTCCGCATTTCTTGCACACCACATTGTAGGAAATGTCCTGGCGGCCACCCGTGTTCTGAGGAATGCTCCATTCCAAGTTCACTGAAGTCTCATTGACATTTGAAATCAAGTTTAGGGGAGCAGATGGTGGGCCTGGAGAAAGAGAAAAAAACATACCATCACACCAAGAACTGTAAGGATCCTTTTGGAATCTCTCAGTTTCTATTGTTCTCTGCAACTTCAAGAGGTAGATGGGCCCATTTGGCAAATAATGCAAAAAGAAAATCGAGTTAGCAAAAAGATCTTTTAAAATAAAAATAGAATAGAAAACTGTAGGTGTGAGTGTCATTTTCATTTGTGTGCAAACAAATGTGGCAATACCTGCCACTCTGAGATGTAAGGCCACTCTACATCAAATGAGCGCCAAGTCCAGGCTTCCCCTCTGAAGTGGCAGGAAAATATCACAACTTATCCAGTTTCAATCTTATCATCTGAAAAATGGGTATGCAAATGCAATTCTAGTTCCCAGAGCTATTGTGGGACTCTGCTAAATTAAAAGATATATACCACTTCTGAAGATAAATGGTGATTCCTAAGTTGAGTATGTCATCAATATAGAGGAAGATTAAATTGTTTATTGAGTAATTAGTTGGAGCCGGTTTAACCTGGTTGCAAATATGTTGAAGGAAGGTCCTGTTGCTGAAACATCCCAGCTTGAGGCGGATATTGTACAAAGGCACCCAACCACACGTGCAGCACTTGAACTGACCAAGGCTGCCTAGGCTTTGCTTTTATGAAAACATTAGTACCTGTTTACACCAATGGAAAGAAATCCAAAAATGATGTTTGCATTTATGAAAAAAAATGGTAAAAATTGTGTTTTGCATTTGTTTTGCAGCAAGCTGTTATAGAAGCAGCGCGCACCCTGCAAGCCAACCTCCTTTCCCAGGAACTCAGCATTAAAGCATCAAGTTGCCTTAGCTTTGAACTGTGTCTGTCAGCATCTGTGCTTTATCTCAGTTTACTTTGTGCATCCCTTAGCAAGATGTGCCTTAAGGTGGTGGGCCATTTCAGCTTAAGAAAGGTTTCACAGAAACTCTCAACTTTCAGATAGTGGGGTAGGGAGGCGGGGAGAGGGGCCTGTACTCATTCCAATGGACATGCAAGAGTTTCTGAAATATGAATGGTGGTGGTGGAATAGAACAACTGATCCCAACAGATAGTGGTGGTTTAACAACAATCTACACTAATAAAAGAGAAAGATGCAAATTGACCATATTTTGCAATGCCCACCAGCCAATCAGGAGTGAGTATGCAAATTAATCCAACAAAGATGGTGGGTTAATTTGCATACACAGGCACCGCCCCAGCTGCTCAGGGCCTCTGGGCAGCGTGGGAAGGCAGAAAGGAGGCTCTGGCCAGAGCGAAGGTGGTGCCAGCAGCCAGGGGAAGGAAGGCCCATTCTTGAACGAACCTTCGTGCATCAGGCCTCTAGTAATAATAGATAAGACTATAGAACAATGATGACTCTCTTGCTGTAGATTAGTTTTTACAGGCCAAGAAGTTACCACACAAAAGAATTCAAGAAGAAAAATAGGTGTGGGAGACATGAGAGGTAATTTTCCTGACCTCAGCTGGTTCCAAATGTTTAAAAGACATTTCCACACTCTAATCAAAAATATTTATTCAATGTGAGAGTCGGAAAGCCCTCTCTTTTCCTTCTCCTTTCACATTGTGATCCTCTAAGAAAAGAGCCAAAAGTGGGTTTTAATGAAAGTTTGGGATTTCTTGCTCACTGTATCTATTCTACTTCTATTTTATCTGTAATGACTGCTTTGAGGAAAGTTACCTGGAGGCTTGCGTGACGTCAGGCAAGTGTTATCTCATGGACCACAATGGAATGTACTGTTCCACAGTCACCTCCGAGAGAGAGTTGTATGTAATCTACATACAAGGGGTTATATTCAGTACTATTCAGCTAATGGTGATGAAGAGCAAAAGAATTTTGGTGATAATACTGAATAAGGCCAATTTACTCTCCTTTTCTCTTTGTACAGCTTAATTGAAGACTTTACTTTAACAAGGTAAGTGTGTCTTCCCAATGTCTCCTTGAGACTAATTATGATGTCTTCTGTTCCCTTGCCTGATCTGTGAACCTTACAGGGAAAACAATGTTGTAAAATTTGTGTTAAAAGTGAGATTACCCCACAGAAATTTCCAGAAATAAAATACCAGTGTTCCTTTTGTTTACATTTTCATTTGTATTAAGGGTCCTTTGGAAAATAACAAGGTCAAATAAATGGTTTCTGAATAAACGAATAGAGCTCTTTAAAATCACAGACTCCTAGAGCCAGGTAGGATGGTAAAGGTCATTTGGTCAAACAGCTTCATTTTAAAGATGAGGAAATTGAGATCCAGGAAGTGAACCTGATAATATGGAAAGCTTGTGCAATATAATTAGTGGCAGAATCTAAGATCCATAAGTACTAACTCCACTTTGGGGTTATTTCCACTCCACCATATGGCCCCCATTTAAGGTATAAGAACAACAAAATCAGCAGTTTCAACCAAAGTTTGAGATGTAAAGGTAGGAAGAGGGAGTGTGTATCATCAGTCCTGTTCAGGTTCTGTAGAATCTTGCCACCATGGTGAAATCCTTACTAGTTTTCATCTGAAGCTGACCACAGCTTGGCTTATAAAATAGGTCAGTCACTGGTTCTCTTTGTGCTGCAAGGTTCTAGGGTTAAATGAGAGTGACTCTCAAATCCATGCCAAGGTTCCTGGTCCACTTTCACATGGGAAAATGTGACACAATGAATCAAACACTACAGAAGCAAAAAGTCAGTAATTAGTATGTAGGATGGGGCATGGCAGTGTCTAAACAGAGAAGAAATAGAGCAGAAAACTAAATGGTCACAGGCCTTAGAGATATAACACAGCCACGTGGAAAAAAAAATGCTTCAGGATTTCTAATTGGAGGGCTGGCAGGAAAACCAGTAGTAGCCAGCCCAGAACAACCTTCTTCCTTTGGGAAGAAAATTTGCGTAGATGCTCAAGGAAAGAAGGAAAATTAGGCCAATTCAAGTTCAATGTTGTCTCCATGAATGGTCTGGTGAATGGTACTGAGCATGGTTTATGTTTTGCTGCCATATGGAATGATGGTTAGATGAGCATAGTTGCAGCTTAGAAATTAGACTACAACACAGAATTGAGGCAGGGAGAAGGGAATATAGAAATGTCCACCCAATATGATTATAAATTGGCCTGCACAGGAACCAGGAAAGAAAGAATGATCAACCAAAGGACTTGTATGCATGCATATGAGCATAACCAATGGACACAAGACACTGAGGGTATGGGAGGCTAGGGGAGGGTCAAAGGGAGAAAATAAAAGGAGACCTATGTAATACTCTTTTTTAATACTTTAAGCAATAAAACAATTTAAAAAAAGAATGCCTTATAAATTAAAATCATAATGGTGGTTATATTTTTTGTGGGATTGTTTCTTCTTTCTTTCTTCCTTTCTTTCTTTCTTTCTTTCTTTCTTTCTTTCTTTCATTCTTTCTTTCTTTTACCTTTTGCCATTTAAATGATAATAACATATGAAGTGTGTTTCTATTTAAAGGAAGAGTCATCTCTTCTTCAGAAAAGAAAGAATTCTCCTCTCAAGACATAAGAAAAAAGTAGGGATTTTAATATAGTCAAAAGTGAATACTTAGCAGCACCTTAAAACAATCACCTGTAGAGATGGCTAAAACGAAAAAGAAATAGGCCTTCTAAGTTACATGAATTCTCTGAGTAAATACAAATGATCCAGAAAGAAAAAAATCTTAACTTTTAGATTATCTTCCCTTTTGTTCCTGTAAGTATTGTATCTGGATATTTAGGAACAATTATATATCTGAAAGGTAACTGACTTTCTCATCAGAAATATATCCATCCATCGGCAAATAAGTCTCCAATTACAAATACAAGATGTATCACGGACAGGAATAAAGGTGGCATTTGTTTTAATTTTCTAGTCTTTATATTGACATCATGTCCACGGAGCAGACACCAGCATCAGGCAGTTTGTGGGTCATTGTAAATAGTAGGGTTTTATGCTTTCTAAAGCCACCCAGTAGTGGCCTGAATGTAGGGCTAATAGCAATCCGCATATGGTATTGTTCCACAGTTCAGGTCTTTATTTCTATTTCCTATTTTGTTTGGAACATGGTTTGCTAAGGCGACACTTATCACCAGTCTATATGCTCCTCCAGAGATGAACTGATGTCTTCATTTCCTGGTGTCTACCATGATTTGTAGTTCAGAGCAAGCTCAATAAATATTTGATGAGTCGATGAATAAGTGAATGACTGCAGGGAAAACTGACAAAATCCTCAAATGCATCTATGCCTAACTATCTCCAGTGTGTTTTCAAGCTGTGAATTAATATAGCTTTCTCTGAGCTAAAGTAGTATTAGTCGGCTTTTTACATACAGATTCATGAGCATTAAGCCCTGTAAAGGAGTATCTCAATGTAACTAGTTTAATTCAATTTCTTCTTTTCTATAATTTAAAAACACATTGGAAAAAGTAAGGAGGGCTATATATATTATTAGTGGTTACTTCTTTTGAGAGGGATTGTGGGATCACAATATATATTGAGAGTCCAGTATTTGTCTCCTGCTCTAGAAGAAAAAGAAAAAAAATTGATTTATTTTGATAATTCACTGGATAGTTGAAGGAAGGGAAGCTGGGAGAAAGAAAGAAACTAAAGGAAGCTAAGTGGGGATTATGTGAGCACCAGGAGGATGTAAGGGCAAACACTCCATCCTCTCTTGTTTTTAGAACTCCCTAACCAACCACTCAACCAATGTGGCTGGGAATTTAAAATGTGGGCTTTACCCCTGGCCTGCTTGGAGCACCGTCCAACACGCCAAGGTTGTGGGTTTGATCCCCTGTTAGGGCACACACAGGAAACAACCAGTGAATGCATGAATGGGTGGAGGAATAGGTCGGTATTTCTTTCTCCTTCTCTAAAAATCAATAATAAATTTTAAAAAATGCAAAATCCATCAATTAAAGTTGTATTCATTGGGGATTGGTTATTAGGACTTTCCTTTCTCCATCTTGACTTAAGGTCATGCTATAATCAGGCATGAAGTTATGAA